TATTATTATTATTATTATAGGCTGTTACTTTACTTTACTATAATCGAACTGACCTTCTCTGACCATCCCTTTGTTGTAAGAGTGTGTCTGTGTAGGCATGTTTGTGCATCTGCAATGCGTTGTTTTTTTAAATACCTAAAGCCTACTGGAGTTAAACCTCATTTTGTTGTGGGGTAGTGCATCTGATATAAATTCAATATTTATTATTCAAAAAGAGCTGTCCGAGCAATTTATAACATCGGAGCTCGGAATACACTCAGAGATCTTTTTAAAGAGATATATACTCACTGTTGCGTCTCAATATATTTATTGTAATATTTTGTATGTTAAACAGAATATTAATAATTATCAAAAGAATAGTGACAGACATAAACTAAATACTAGAAATAAGGACAAACTAACTACGCCATTATTTCGCCTACAAAAAGTAAACAGGTCGTTCATGGGGCAAAGTGTGCGCATGTATAATAAAATCTCACAGTCGATATTAAGTCTGCCACTTGATGAATTTAAACGAAAAATTAAAAGTAAACTTATGGCTAAAGCCTATTATACTATTGCCGAATATCTTGACGACGCCAATGTGTGGGGTTAATACTGTTGATTATCACGTAGGCTAAAACAAGACTATTGTACCTGTACTATTATATTGTAAACTGATTTTTAAAAAAAAAAAAGAGCAACTGTTGAGTTTCTTGCCGGTTTCTTCTCAACAGAAACTGCTTTCCGAACCGGTGGTAACTTACGAACGTGTTAATTTCTTGTAAAATTTTGACGTTTCATAAGAACGCGCAAGCGTCTATGTGAATAAAGATATTTTATTATTATTATTTATTACTAGCGGCCCGCCCCGGCTTCGCACGGGTATTTAACAAAATTTTTAAACACTTAGAGCAGATCTTATTCGAGGCTACGATTTGGACGGAAGACTGTTGAGCAAAATGCATGAAAGCTGATCTGTTACTGTGAGCTAAAACTCGATCACGAACTCTAGTCGTTGAAGTTTGTTATCTTTCTCTCTAATCTCGTATACGTTGGGAACGCTCAGACCTCGATTCCCTAGTGTGAATTTGTATATTTATATTATTATACTCTTCAAGCCACTGCAAAACACTCTATTTGACTCTCTCCGACTTGTAAGACGATATTCAGTTTCCGGTAAAGATTCCTCATTATGACGTATTTTTAATGTCCTCGCCTGGGAACTCTTTCTAGAAAGATGAGATCTTGATCTTTTGGGCATTTTAAAATGATAAAAAAATTAAACTTCCTTTGTATTTAATAATCTGCTAACTGTTGGACAGGAATTACCAGTATAAATGTGATTGAAAACTTATAAGAACTAGTAAGTCAGTCACTAAGCTTTTTGGATAGTTAAATTACAATATGCTAACATTTTTAAACTTGCAATATCTAAGGAACGGAATGTCCGAATTTAATAATTCAAAAAGTTATATAAAGATATTGAAACAGTCTTAAATATGAAGTAATTTATTTTTATAAGGATTAATACCGAGATACAAATAAACAGCCTTTGTTAGCGGCGGCATTTCAATCAAAATTTTAAAATAAAAGAACACTTCAAAGTCAAAGTCAAAGTATATTTATTCAATATAGGCCTAACTTAAGCTCTTATTGAACGTCAACAAAAATCTACCACTTGTTGTGGCATAACTATAATAGTTAGACATATGCTGTCGCGACACTTTTTGTAAATAATGATGTGGTCTGCAAAGTCGTAGTACATTACTTTATTCTATCATCAATAGTTTTCGCAGCGCACGCGATGTAAAGAATATTTTAGGTAATTTTTGTACACCTTGAGAAACATTATTGGAGTTTTAGTAAGGATCCCTAATTTTTTGAAAATATTATATAGCCTATGCGAAGCAGGGATAATGTAGCTTCTCAACAGTGAAAGAATTTTTCAAATCGGTTGAGTAGTTTCGGAGCCTATTCGTTACATACAAACAATCAAATCTTTCCTCTTTATAATATAGAAGATTATTATTATTTGGGCGATTCGCAAGCAAAAAGAACTAATATGATACAAATCACGATAATACAAATTAAACTACACTATAAACAAAATCGTAAGTCGTAAGTGTACATCACACATCAAAAATTTAATCGTCAACTTCAATTGTCGTGAATGCAGCGGATTTGTTGCCAGTACTTCGTCAAGAACAAGCCACGCTCACGAGGACTGTGTACTTTTTTCATTTACAAACATTGCCCATACTAAGGGATAACATTATCTGGTACAAAACAACATAATGTAAGGATAAGAACGTTTTATAAATATAAATTTCACGTGGCAAACACCCAGATGCGAAACAACTATCTGTGGGTCATACAAATAGCAGTGTGGAAATCCATGATGAACCCACGACCCACGACGCCGAAGCCAATTCCTTGGCAATCTATCTTCCTCTAATAAAACAAAAAAGACTTCCGCACTAGGGAATGACGCTTGTTGGCCCATAGACCATCGCACTATCCGTGCATCCGAATTTGCTGTTATCACATCTAAATCACTACTTTGTATAAAACAAAGTCCTCCCGATGTCTATGTCTGTCCCTATGTATGCTTAGATGTTTAAAAGTACGCAACGGATCTTGATACGGGTTTCGGTAACATTCAAGAGGAAGGTTCATATGTATAATAATACATTGCACCTGTGTGAATCCGGGGCGAGTCGCTAGTATAATTATAATTAAAATCCAAATGAACAACGTATTTCTGCACTAAAAGAATGACGCAGAGACACGACAGTTTCGTTTAAACTCCTAGTTTCGTGGTAATAGCGCAGTAAAGTGCTGAGGCGGACGAGGCAATATTTCGTTTCATATTTCGTATAGACAGACGCGGCAAATTGTGAATGTAAGGTTGCTGAAGATTTAAGAGACGACATATTGATTAAATGAATTTTAAAAATAGCCTTTGACGCGATAAACTGAATAGTTTTTCTGGCCAGTAGTAGAAAACTGATGTTGTCACAAATGTTAATCCAAGCAGAATGACAGTCATTAATCATTCAAGGTATCTTGATTGATTAATGAAACGGTACGTATGAATGAAATAGATGAAGGAGACTACAAAAGAAGCCGTCTAGAAGGATAAGACCGACAAAGTGACGGTTATATAGCCGGTACCTTAGAAATAATGCAATTGTAAGCCCGCGTATAGACTAACCACTTTCCTTAATTTAGTTTAATTTATTAATGTCTTCAGTATATTTATAATAACTGACTAATATTTTACGTATACCAGACGTCGAATGACAAAGCAAATTCAAAAGCATTTTGCTCCAAAACAGGCTTTGCGCCCTCTTCAAATGTGTTGGATATTCTGTAGACTGTAAAAACCGATATAGTGAGAAAATAAAATTATTATGTGTGGAATATTTATTTGTTTTCTCGTCTTGGGTTTATAATTTAAATTAAACATAAAGTTATTATTATTGCTATCGGGCGCTATCAAAATTAAACTTGTCACTGGCAACATTTTTTTTCTCGAACGAAAAACGAAACAATAAATTTGTCTATTAGCCTCGACGAAGACGCTCATAGAATCGCGTGGGAACATCGTGTGACCCGCGCTTTTTTCGCGCCCCGCATGCACGCTACGGGAAAAACCTTGAGCGCTCATCCTTCCTAGTAGATTTTGTGGCGGTTGAATTATGAGACATTGTTTGTTAGACACGTTCGGATGATTCAATGGCGGACGATGACTATGTCCTTTAATTATTCCTAACGTATCACTGTTGACTTAACAACGGCGCTTTAAAAATGAGGTAGCAAATTGTGCTTGATTCAACACCGATACAAAGTTTTATTATGTATTAAGAACTTTCGGTACTTTTCGTTTTTAAATACTTTCGAAAATAAGATAGGTTACTTTATGTAAAACCTGTTGATTACACTCTTTTTCTTTTATTTGATGTAAGCTTTTTAAAAGACTACGAATTTTTTTTAAAATGGCGAGAAATCGTTTCGCAGAAGCTAAAGCGCGGGATAATGGGTACGTAATTTCTTTTTTTTTTTCTCTATCGCATCTGACGACGAAACCACAACTGCCGTGCAATGGTTAGGACAAGTGCATTCGACAATGGACACGCTGTCACCGTTTCGGGCAACGGGTAACATTATCATTAACGCCTACCGTATCGAATTCAATTCAGTGCTACGAAAACGAAATTAAACGCTATCGATTACAATCTGAGGAGTTATCAGACCGAATCGCGTGTATATGTGTAGCGTAATTCATTAACGGCGATAAGCCATAGTAGCAGATTAAGGGTTAGAACGGCGATAAGATAGAATTCCTCGGTTTAATGACTGTGCACGATCGTGGGTTTAAATTTATAATAATGATCTCATAAACCGCATAGCTATAAAGAGGCACAGGCGATAAAATGAGCGTAAATTTCGTTTCAAACCACATATTATATACTCAGTTCGCGAACGTTAAATTTCAAATGTGGAAGCGTTAGAGAAACAGGAACGCTCCCGTCTCGCTCCTCCGCCCGCAAAAGACAGGGATGGGGATAAAGAGACGGTTGGGCGATCGCGGCGGGCAAAATAAATAATAAAACTAAAACCGAACCCCGTCTCGGGGCAAGAGTTGCCACAGCAAAGTATTTAGCTTTATTTTAACTAATTTTGCACGCTGCCATAAACATATATCTATTATATTATGCAATTGATTATCAAATTATGATGATGAATTTATATTAATATAATGATTCCATAATCAAGTCAAAGTTCAAATGCTTAACTCGTTTATCAGTATTTCTCTTGTGGAGACGATATAGCGCTCTAAGATTGTATAAGCAACAATTATGACTTTTGCAAAAAGTAAAAAGTGAAAATGACCAAAGAAGACCCTTAAACCTTTATAATAATTATGGTTTGCCCATAGACTACGCCATGTACTAGAAGAGGCTAACGATCGCTAAAATATAAATTATTGAGGAGCCATATTTATAATACATTCAGAGAAGGCTTGCAAAAGACAAGTCGGCGATTCGCACGGCAGCCCCGCAGCGCTTTAGCGCCGCGATGACATCACTCGCCTTATGAATTGGGTATACACGAAAAGTAATTCACGCAACGACACCTCTGACATTGAGGCTGTTGCTAACTACGGAAAGCGAAAGTCTTACATAATTAACGTGCGTAAAGAGCCTGTAATGAGTTATACACCACACTTTGAGAGGGACAGGAGATCGTGTATCGCACGTAGCCAGACTTGGTAACAAGGGAGCTAGTGCCGCCAACGTCGTTGTTACGTAACGTAAAGGTGGCGTGTACCTGTTTCCCGCCTGCCACCATTGTGTCCGCTCCGGAATAGCACTGGTCTCGCACAGAATGTCACGGCCACGGGCACCGGGGTGCGTCTGGTTGTATGTGTGCGTTAGCGCGGCACTATCGCCGCGTGTACGGTCCGCGGCGGTTTGCAGCGAACTGAGGACTGGAGGGGTGGGTGCGCGCGCGTCGGAGCCTCCGGCGCAAACTCCCCCCCTGGCCCCCCTCCTCCACCCCCCCAGCCTCGTTGCCGCCGACGCCGCCCGAGCGGCGCAATCAATGGCGAACCGAACGTGTGTGCAATTACGCGGGGCACGAGAAGGCCAGCCGGTACGCGCGGCGGCGGCGGGCCGATAGGGTTCCATCCATGCAGGATAGTGGTGAGGAGGGCAATCTCCGTGTATACAACGTCTCCAGGTGTTAAATTGGTGGCGCTAAGTAAGCAGGTGGGTAATAGGCAGTGGACACCCACAACTAGTAACACCAGTTACTAGTTAGTAAAATTCAACTCGACAACGTAATAATCATACTCTCTCGCTACAGTAGCGCCATTCTGGAGGAATTGGGATATATTATGGATTGACATTGACGAGACAAATTTTCCGCATAATATAACCCCCATAGCTTCATCGTTGACGCCAAATGTAAGACGATGAACGGTTCCAAAGGTAGCGGTGGTCAGGTGCGGCACCTGTATGCGACTTTACGCTTGTAAATGAAGAAATGCAATTGGAAGAGGCATGAAACCGATTTTTGGTTCAACGATACATGCACATGGTGTCTTTAGAAGTTATATAACAAGGGGCGCAAGACGATATGCCGTAAGAGCTGGAGGGGTCTTAGTTGAGAAGATTCCGAGCAGAATAAGAAACGAGCTTGAGAAAACGAAAGGGATAGATTTTTTCTTTAAGCTTATTAAGTTCTGCTATCATCAGAAACACTGCTCAATGTTGATTTGGTTGTAAGTAACGGGTTGTCAACAGCAAAAGACCGAGATAACTTCTTTAAATTTTAAGTAAAAGTAGGTAGTCTTTCATGTGCATTTATACCACCCCTCTTCCGGGTAAGTCCCCCGGCCTCACAGAAGACTGACAATTGTGAATGAATGAAAGAATCTGGTAGTACCTATGTCGTATAGTCATCGTAGTAGTCGTATAATGTTTAGTAGTATTGCCAGAACATGCTAGTACATTGTGATCTTAATTATAATAATTTGATGCAACATGCACATTTACTTTAAAATATTTAAATTTTATATGGGAATATTATACTTTCGCGTTACGTGTGACAAGTGAGGCACCCTGGAATTATTTTTTGAAGGTTGGTAACGCATCTGCATCGTCTTAGGTGAATCGACTGCTCGCTTGCAACTTCTCAATAAAATAATTCAACCGGGAAAATCTATGCTAAATCCGCAACCACGTTAAATATTCCCATCTTAGATTATCACACATCGCTTGAACTTGACAAGTTGTTAACTGCATTAGGGAATACAGTGAACAATTGCGGTGCAGTGCACTAATCAACAGATAGACTTAAACTACAACCTAAACATACAATCAGCGCAGGTGTTTTTTTTTATATCTTCATCATCATTTTAGAATGTTTGAGTCCACAGTTGAACATAGGCCTCCCCAACAGACTGTCACCAAGTACGATCCTGAGCCACCTGCATGCATCGACTTACCGCACATTTGCACAGGTCGTCACTCCATCTAGTGCATTTAGTTTTCTATATAAAATCTTTTTTTTTTTTTTTAATAAGAACAGAAGATTCAACTTCATACGCGACGATCGCTAAACGAGAATACGTTATCCGCAACAGTCATTACAATTTCAAAAACACGTTTGTTGCTGCTGAAATTTTGCGTCAAGATATGATCGACACAATACGCGTCCATTTATCATCGACACTCGACGAGTCAATCATTGCGGCTATGACATCAACGGGAGTCTGTCGGGGAGCGTCAGTCATATGAAATTTCATTCGTGAAGTCTATTTCAGTTCGATACGCATTTGTGACTCGTGTACTCGTACTACCGATAGGCGCATGCCGCCATGTTGGTGTTTATAGCGGTATTATCGCTCTGGTGTTTTGCATACTAATTTCACCAGGTTCTGTATAAAACTACACGTCTACGTCACGACATTTTAATGTAAACTCAAACGCGGCCACGATACATCACGATATACGTAGACAGGGGCTTTAATTTTGTAGAAAATGCTGAATAAAGTATATCAGTTGTGACTCAAATCCGCTACTTACTACTAATGCCCCAATACTTTGAATTTGTCTTTAAGTAGTAAGTCAAAATTTTTCTTTAAGCATTTATTGAACATCAAAAAATTTCGACTGGTTCACTTAAGCAGACCTTTCTAGAGAAGAAATTCTCTGGTCTCACCTTTTTTTTAAATGATACATTAAAAAATAGTTGGGTATGATAGCAGCAGTAGCCAGGGGTAGCAGTTGCAATGTGGCATTTCCACACATAAGCGAACTTGACTGAATTACACGAAGTATACGATTATAACGCCTGCCATTAATGCCGTTGTAATACGGTCGTTAAGAGGTCAGGTTTAGCTATGCGCAGTCGCTAGTCCGAATGACGGATTAAGGAAGTACGTGACCAGAAACCGAGAGTGTTGAATATCATATATCATTCTGGAATCCATTCAATTTGTCTCTTTACCATGTACAGGTAATGAATCTTGCTATACAAATTATAGCCCATTACTCTGCAAATTATTGACGAGGGATGCAAATCATAACGTGTTTGGATGTCGAGGCAGAAGGGATTAAAACAACTAAACTGTGATTTTGTGTGTTTAAATGTGGTACGGCCACGCAACAGTCTTCTCTGTTGCACGAATGAGCAGGTCTGTCCGGGTAAGTACCACGACCTCACGGAAGTGTTATATTTTTCTGCATTTCGTCCGGAGAGTGAGGTAGCCGGGGCCTAATTTATTAAAAGGTTGCAACGCAACGTTCGGCGGTTATGAATTAACTTCAGGTGAACCGTCTGACATAAAAAAAAGTTGAGTTTAAATGTCAGCACCGATCAACTTTATTACAATTTAAACTCGCTATTAATTAAATGCTGAACGTCGCGAAGAAACATGTACGTGGCGTGCACAGATATTGCTGAGAAGCAAAAATTATCAATGCAATAAAAATAAAATTACAAATTCCAAATTTCTCTAAGAGATTGATGGTAGCATAATAGGTCACTTAAACAAGTACATATTTTTTTTAACGACAAACAAAAGCGACTTCAAATATCTCTCTCTGTATTCATTTTATAATTGATTTTCCGGATTTCCTAAGTATCTCCGGATCCCAAGAAGTTAATATGGGGGGACCACGTGGTAAGCGCCAGATTTCAAAAAAGAATCAAAAAAATCGGTTGACTCAGACCGAAGTTGTGATTTAACAAACATAAAAAAAATACAGGCATTTGAAAAGGCTGTGAGATGTCAGTTTGTTGATGTCCTTTGAGTAGATAAAAAATATAACTTTACTGTATCTCGTGAGGTTTCAGTGTTGTCGTCAACGTGTGCAAAGTGTGCAAAGCACACGTGAAATGTTCACATTAATACAATATGTCGACTCGTTAGCAGTTTCACATCTGAACAGAGGCGATTAACGGACGTCTTCGCAAAAGCATTGCGTAAGTAATAATATGTCGTTACTCAATTCAACTCCGAGCGGATTATGGTAAGTGTTGCCATAAGCTTCACGCCTTTTATTAAATCAAAATAGTTACTGCGAACCACGGGTGAGGGGTATCGATAAAGCCGAATGTAGACGCGGAGCAGACGTCCTACCAATTGGGAAATCTCTGGCGAACCGTTAGATCGGTAGTGCTATATATCACCGCTACTAATTTGTAGAAAATTACATGGTAACATTTATGAGTTGACGAATTGGTAGAAAATTGCATGGCAACATTTATGACTTAAGTTGACGGGCTGGCTGTATGTTGTAGTTGCCTACACGTTAAGCGACTGCGAGAAAAGAATAATCACTCATAACAACAACAAAAAAAATTCAACGTAACGTTCACAAATTCAATTTGAGCAATGACACACAAGCTTGAGGAACGAATTTAAGTTTTGCGCTCTCTAAACTAATTAAGGTTAATAATATAATGATTTCTTTGGATTTATATGAATACTGTGAACAATAAATAAATAAAACTCTTTTTTGCTTTTTCAATTCGCGAAGATTCGAATGTTCTAGACACAAGAAGCTAGAACATACTCGTACATAGTAACGGGAGATTTGTCACGAGAAAATTCATAGTTGTTTCACGTAATGTTGATTATTTGCTTTGGTCAGTTCCAACGGGCCGGTTCAAAGCAGTGCAACAGCTCATGGGTGCAGTGTCCACTAACCAGATAACGCGCGGCCCACTTTCTAGCTTCCTTCCTACGGCGCGCGCCCTACGCGAGCGCTTAGGGCGCGGACACACGAACTCGTAACGAGATCACGAGCCGCATGAACTTAAGCAAGTGTAATGTAGGCCTTTTTCATTATATTTGTTATGCCACCCAAATACTAACAATGCAAAATTGTTGTATGAATTTATGGCTAAATCTTTAAAATGAGTATTAGAAATGTCATAGTTGTAAATAACATTAGATAATAAATAATAATAAATACAAATTTAGGAATTATTTATACGTTCTCTAGTCCCAAACTAAAAAACGCTTGTACTAAACACACGTAAACACACAGACACAAGAAAAACATTATGCTCATCACCCAATATTTTTCCAGTAGTGGGGATCGAACCTGCACCCTCTGGTGCAGGAGGCAGGTACACTACCCACTACGCCATTCGGGCCGGATCGTAAGATGAGGGCACGATGGGACTGACATGCACACTACGCAAGTCCCTTAAAAGATTACGAACCACCACTTTCAATAGAACAGCGTAAACTCCGCTAGAAGATCTGTCGCGACCTGAGTTAACGCTGCGCGGTCTGGAGTGTCAATTCCGGTTGCGGAGTGGAAATATCTTCCTCGTGGTTTGAATGGATGACGCACGTGTCGTTCGCCGATGGAGAATAACGTTTGATGACGTTAGTTTCCAAAGCTGGGACGCGTTTCAACCAGAGGCGAACGTCATCTCGTATAATTTTATGTGAATAGTGTACTTACGTACTTTTTAGGATTCCGTACCCAAAGGGTAAAGTGGGACCCTATTACCAAGACTCTGCTGTGTGTATGTATGTCTGTCCGTCTGTCACCGGGCTGTATCTCATGAACCGTTAGACACAAGTTAGACAGTAAAAAATACATGATTTTATTTCTTCGTTTTCATTGATAATCGTACATGTATGGTGCGCGATTCCGACTCG